GCAGCAGCAGCTCGCAGCGGCCGTCGCTGTCGTCGTCGGGGCTCTGCTCGCCGCCGCTGCTCTCGGCCACCGAGCTGCGGCTCGCGCTCTCGCCGTACTTGGCGCACGCCGAGGCGGGCGGCAGCGCCAGCGGGTCGCCCGGCTGCAGCAGCGCCTCGGGCTCGGCCGCCTCGTAGCAGGCGAGCGGCGAAGGCTGCCGCTCGCGGCCGTGCGAGAGGTCGAGCCCCGGCGGCGAGCGGAAGGCGGACTCCATGCGCTTGGCCGAGGCGGCGAGGCTCTTGTGGAACAAGTCCTCTTGTGCGGGCAGCCCCAGCGCCCGCTCCATCGGGCCCCCGCTCTCCTCCTCCTCCTCCTCCTCCTCCGCCCCCGTCAGCTCCCGGCCCGCTCCTCCAAGGCTCCGCGGCGCGGCGGGCGGCTCCCTCGCGTCCCGCTCTCGGGAATCGCCTCCTCGCTCCCGCCGGGGCTGCTCCGGCTCCCGCTCCGGCTCCGGCTGCGCTCGCGCTCCGGCTGCGGCTCCGGCTCCGGCTCTGCTCGGGCTCCGGCTCCGCTCGGGCTCCGGCGGCGGCTCCGGCTCCGGCTCCGGCTCGGGCTCGGGCTCGGGCTCGGGCTCGTCCTCAGCAGGCGCCGCGCTGGGGCATTGTGCGCTGCGAGCCGAGCCGCTTCCACCGTTTATCTTGCTTGGATTCACCTTCAAGAGATTTCCGGACCCATCAACCAGCAGCCGCCGCAGACGGGGGAGTCTTTTACATCATTATCTCTGAGAGTAGGTTATTATGAAGAAGACTCGCCTGTTGGGACAGAGCTTTCTACCCAATCAGGTTAACGTTTTAATTAATAGGATTAAAACGGTAACAAACAATCCCAGGCGCTATCTGGCCCTGAGTCTGAATAGTTTCATTTCCCAGGTCTGAAGACAGGCAGCAGCTAGAGCTTTATAAGAGGCGCCTGCTCCATTATTCTCCCTGCCATCTGTATACACAGCTTAACGCATATGTTTGCAAGACGTTGTGTCCTGTTAGTAACCCAACAACTGCCTTTAGCTTGACATGTGTGGCGACTTTCACTCATCAATGAGCACACTAAAAGCCCTACTTAGATCGAAGGATGTTCTTTGCCTCCTTCAGCAAATTACAGCCCTGCACTGCAGGAAAACTCGCTCTAACACTTCCCCTTCCGAGTGCTGCCAGGAGACTCCTGCTAACTTACCCACGGAGGCAGGAGAGGCTCCCTCTCCCCCAGCCCTCCCCACCCCTTGGCTATATTACCTTATAGCCCCCTCCCACCCCCACTCGTCTCTGAAAAGAAAA